GGGCAGTGGAGAAGATCAAAACACCAACTAAACTAATCTTAACAAATCACAGCCTACAGTAAAGCTCTCGAGTGGCCTCTCTTCAGATTCCACTCAGTCCATTCAAATCATTAGTGAGCAGCAGCTCACCAGAGGAATGAAATGCTCTTCATGAGGATCCTAGCATGGAGAGGGGAGAGTGTTGGGGGTGAGGGGTTACTACCCCACCTCTCCCATCATTCATTCTCAGGGTGGGAAGGCAAACACCAGATCGAGGGATAGGACAGTCCAGGTGTTAATACCTAATCATGCAAAGACCAGTCTGCGTAAGCTGGCAAAATCAGTGTTACTGACTGGAAAGGGAGATTTCACAGGCATGGTTGGAATGCCACCGGGTAGAACAGTCCTTTTGTCAAGGGTTAGCTAGGTTCCAACCGAAGAGAAGAATTCAAGGGCCTGGAACAATTCTAACGTTGTGGCTGTTTCTGCAGTGAGTTTGCAAGAGGCAATGATTAACTGGAAAATGTTAGCATTGGGCAAGGGAGTTTAGCCAGCGGGTACCTTCACAATGAATAGCCCAGGCAGTACAATAAAAACAACAAAGAGATTCAGGCATTTCCCTGGGTAAGAGGGTCAAACTCTCAAAGAGGAAGTCGCTAGGGCATTTCTCACTGTTGCAGGACAGTGCCGCGGGAGAACGAGACTCTGTCAGCGTTACAAGCTGGCGGGATGCCCCTTCCCTCCCAGCCCGGTGAATGGCAGGGCGGCTTTTTCCTCCGTCTGAGCTGGTATGAAGCACGCGGCATAAACTGATGTCCCCACGTCCCAAGCGCAGCAAAATAAAAGCACATTTCATGGAACAAAGAAGAAACGCCGGTTCGCCCTGATCCCTGTGTCCGTGTCTGGCTGACACACAGACGCGGGGAAGGAGACCAGAGGCTGGAGGCGCGGCGCCTGTCAGGCCCAGTCAGGACACACCCGCCCCCCGCCAGCCCCTTCCCCGCACCTCTCCAATAGCCCAGGGAAAGCGAGAGGGAGCCTGGGGGGGCTGACGCCCCGCGCGGCGGAATGAAGAGCCAGGGAACAAAGGCCGGGCTGGGGTCGGCCACCGCGCAGGCGGCGGCCGCCTGGGGAGGGAGCCCCAGCGGGCTGCTCGCTCCGAGCCGGGCGCTGTCTCCGCAGCGCTGCGTCTTTTTGTCGGGGGCCTCCCTCGGGTGCATCCTTCTAACGCGGAGCCATTCTGGGCCGCCGTCCGTGCGCGGCTCGGGAGAGCGAAGGCCGAGGACGCGGCAGACAGGGCACCTGCGCCCGGTCGGCTTCGCACGCGCCACAGTCGCGGCAACTCCGGGTCCACCGAGGCCCGCGCCGCCCCCGCGCCGCCCCCGCGCCCATTTCCTCAATGCACGCGACCGACTCACCTCCGAGCCGACACCGCCGGAGAAGGCGGAAGGAAAGTAGGCGCAAAGGCCTGTGGGAGATGTAGTCCGCGCTGGGAGCGCCTAGTCTCCGCCCCGCTGGCGGCGGTGAGGGGGTGGGGGCGCGCGGGGCTGCAATTCTTGGTGGTAGGGGTGGGAGAGGCCCGGGTGGTGCAGGGAACACTCTGTGACGTCAGTTACCCCCATGTGGACAAAAATTCTCTCTGTATTTGGGTCTGTTTATGGCCCGTTCCTGTTTGAATGCAACATCTTTTGATTAGGGAGACCGGTGTTTTTACAGGGATGGGACTGCAATCCCTTTGCAGCTTTTCGGTGTCAGTGTTGACATGTTCTGGGGTGAACCTGTACTGCTCCCGCAGCCTGGTACTAGAAACACTTCAGGTGTGATGACTGACTGACCTGGCCCCTCCAGTCACTCTTCCCAGGTCTTTTCTCCTCACCGTCCTTGATAAGATCGGTTATTTTCTTAGCTTCCCATTGGGGATCAGCTTACCAGATTTTGTTGGGGGTTGATAATCTTCGGTATCCACTAGCAGATTCACTGGCATCTTAAGACCAGGCTATCCCTTGGCCCAGGGTAGGCACGGATTTGTGCATCATACACATCCACTTTGTACACATTTTCATTAGCTATTCTGCTGAGTTTCTGGTCATATGTAACATTGAGGCTTCAAGTGTTCCAGTTTCTTGATAATGAACTTGAGTATCTTTTCGCCTCTTTTTTTTGCCAACTGGATATCATTTTTTCAAAGTTTTGTCTCCCTCCCCCTGCCCACTTTTCCTAGTTTGCTGTCTACAATTTGACAATCTGTAGAAGTTCTTTATGTATTTTGGGTGAGTCTTTGGTCAAAAAACATGTATTATGAATATATTACCTGTGCCTCGATTTTTCATTATCTACAGATTTTTATATTTAACAGAGTAAAACTTACCATTTTAAAACTGATCCAATGGAGAAAGAACATTACATAAATTAATGGAAATTATGAGGGGGTATACACAATTTTCTTTGGGAAGAATTCCAACAGCTTGCTAAAGAAGCAACTTGTTTTTAGAAGGAAAAAGAATAAACCATATTCTTAAATGCAGACATCAAGTAGCGATGTCTTCATAATGTCATAAAAAAGTGAAATGATTGCTCTGAAATCACAGCAGTTATTGACAACGATGGACATAAGGAAAGACTGTTTTCCACTTTTGGAAAATAAATTACGACAGTATCTACATTCCAACATGTTTTTATTAGTCTGGGACCTAATATATTTGAAGTTATCTGGCAATTCTGCTAAGGAGTATGAAGTTAAAGGGAACAAGTTAAAGGGAAGCACTAAGAAGCTAGCCGCAGCTGCTTCAGCCTGAGTTTGATCCCTGGTCAGGGAGGTGACCCACATGGCACAGCAGACCTCTTCTATCTTGCCTGCTGCTCCCCTCAGCAATGAAATTCAGTTGATCCACCTGTTTTGCTCCCCACTCTGTCTCTGGCAAATCCTTTCACCCTCTATACCTCTGGCCTACACACACATACACACACAGCACCTAGCCTGTCTGATCTAACAAGATATATTACTATAGTGGTTTCTGATTCTGCTTTACTCATTAAAAGCTACAATCTTTCACTTAATGGTCTTCACATTCATTGATCACCACCAAGATCCATTATTTCATAAGTGTGATTTTTCCAATTATATATTCCTCTGACCTTTATTAGACAAAATTCTCTAATAATAAGGAACTTGGGCCCTCCCTGGTGGTACAGCGGGTTAAAAACACCACTAAGGGGCCCTCCCTGGTGGCGCAGTGGGCTAAAGCACAACACTGAGAATCTAAAGCCGCTTCCACATGAGTTCGATTCCCGCCTGCCCCGGAGGTGACCACATGGCGCGGCAGACCTCTCCTGACCCGCCCGCTGCTCCCCTCAGCAGTGTACTTCCTCGATCTGCCTGTTCTGCTTCCCACTCTGTCTCTGGTGAAGCCTCTCACCGCCCCTGAGCCTCTGGCCTGTACCCCAGTTCTGTATGCACAAATAAATAAACCTTTAAAAAAAAAAACAAAAAACAAAAAACACCACTAAGAAGCTAAAGCCACTTCAGCATGAGTTTGATCCCTGCCCCAGAGGTGACCCACATGGCACAGCAGAACTCTCCTAAAGCACCCGCTGCTCCCCTCAGCAGTGTACTTCGTCAGTCTGCCTGTTCTACTTCTCTCTCTGTCTCTAGTGAGTCCTCTCACCCCCTGCACCTCTGGCCTGCACCCCAGTTCTGGAAGCATAAATAAATAAATCTTTAAAAAAAAATAATAAGGAACTTACCCTCACTGGCTTTGGTTGTCTTGAAATATAGTTCATAAAGGGAAGGTAATATAAATGCTCCATTTTCCCCTTTTTTAATAAAAACCCTAGTTTGGTCAGGAAAAAAAAGAACCTACCAAAGACTCTAGTGACATGACAAAGGGACCAAGGATCTCATGAGGGATTACTACATAGGCCACACAGACAATTTGACCATAAAATTTGAACTTTATGCAGAAATTACCATACAGGTGATTTAAAATTTCCAGGCAATCTATCTTTTATGTTATCCTTTGACTTTTAATTAAATTTAGAAAGAGCCCACATTAGGAACAAGTTAAAAAGAATCTCTTTCACTATTTTAACAAAAATAAGTAATCAGAAGTTCTCTGTTGGTGAAAGGCATTTATTCATTGTGTCCAGCCTCTCACATGAATTTCCAAAAGCATAATATTAATGATAACTTAAAAAAAAAAACTTACATGCTTAAAACAGTAACCATTTCATTACATCTCCTGATTCTGTGGGCAGGGCACAGCTGGCTGAACTTTCTGTCCTATGTGGTGTCAGCTGAGGGCACTTGGTAGCATTCAGCTGGCAGCTGACCTCGGCGGGCACCTCTCCTCTGTGCCTCTCAGTGGTCTCTTCAGCAGAGTAGCTAGACTCTTTAACTTAACAGTTCAGGTGCCAACTTGAGCATTCCAAAAGAGGAAGTCAAATGTGCCAGTCAAGCCTGGCTCCGGGCACTGACCTTTAACCTTTTGTTCAAGTAGCCACGGGCTGCCCAGACTCATGGGCAAGGGTGTGGGCCTTCCTCCTGTGGGAGGGGTGTTAATGAATGAGCAGCAATCTGTACTCCGCCACAGTACATTACCATTTACAAATGAAATTACAGCACAGAGCAATCTCGTTCAGTAAAACGCACGTAGGACAGTGGTGGAATACAGACGAGTCTTCCTCACATTTGTTCTATTAAGAGTTAGTTTTGAGAATGCAGTAAACATTAACACATTCTTTAAATGAAAGAAGCCTTCCAGGGCGAAGTAAGTTGAACATATGATGAAAAAGGAATTAGTTACTACAGTCAGAGTTTTATACAACACAGGACTGAAAAGTTTCTTATATCTTTACATTATGAATTTTCAGGTGATGGGTTAGGTGGGAATGCTGCCTGAAGGCCTTCTTACACTCCTTACATTCATAAGGTTTCTCACCAGAATGGATTCTCAGATGTTGAATAAGGGATGAATTAAGCCTGAAGGCCTTCCTACATTCTTTACACTCAAAGGGTTTCTCACCAGTGTGAATGCTTTGATGGAGAGTAAGCTTTTGGCGCAATCTAAAGGCCTTCCCACACTCCTTACATTTGTAAGGTTTCTCACCAATATGAATACTCTGATGTTGTGTAAGCTGTGACAGTAGTCTAAAGGCCTTCCCGCACTCCTTACAGTCATAGGGTTTCACGCCAATATGAATACTCTGATGGGAAATAAGTTGTGAGTAACGACTGAAGGCCTTCCAGCACTCCTTACATTCATAAGGTTTCTCGCCAGTGTGGATTCTGTGATGAAGAATGAGATGATAACCACGACTGAAGGTCTTCCCACATTCCTTACACTCATAGGGCTTCTCACCAGTGTGAATTCTCTGGTGGAGGGTTAACTGCTGGCGGACTCTGAAGGCCTTCCCACACTCCTTACACTCATAGGGCTTCTCACCAGTGTGAATTCTCTGGTGGAGGGTTAACTGCTGGCGGACTCTGAAGGCCTTCCCACACTCCTTACACTCATAGGGCTTCTCACCAGTGTGAAGTTTGTGATGGACTCTAAGGCCAGAGCCACACAGAAAGTCCTTCCCGCATTCTTTACACTCATACAGTCTGTTGGCAATATTAAGCTTCTGATGTCGAGTGAGGTGTGCGTACTGCCTGAAGGCCTTCCCGCATTCTGTACACACATAGGGCTTCTCCCCGGTGTGAATCCTCTGATGGAGCGTCAGCTGACCACGCACTCTGAAGGCCTTCCCGCACTCCTTACACTCATAGGGCTTCTCACCGATGTGAATTTTCTGGTGGACTCTAAGTTCTGGGCCACATATGAAAGACTCTCCACATTCCTTACATTCATAGAGCTTTTCGCCAGAATGCAGTCTCTGGTGGCGCGTAAGGTGTGCCGTCTGTCGAAAGGCCATCCCACACTCCTTACACTCATAGGGTTTCTCACCAGTGTGAATTCTGTGATGAAAAGTAAGTTGCTGGCGGACTCGAAAGGCCTTCCCACACTCCTTACATTCATAGGGTTTCTCACCAGTGTGAATTCTGTGATGAAAAGTAAGTTGCTGGCGGACTCGAAAGGCCTTCCCACACTCCTTACATTCATAGGGTTTCTCGACAAAATGAACCTTCTGATGTGGCGATGTGCGTTTTTGGTACGAGGACACTTTTTGAGATGGAATTTTCATCTGACCAAAATATTCACCTTGTTCTTCACATTTTCTTTTGGACTCCCAATCACTTTTTAAAACGAGCCCCTTAAGGCCATGGTTTTTAATTCTTTCCACTATCTTCCACTGGGATAAGTTAATTTCATAAACGTCATTTTCTGAAGATAACTTCTTGGTCTCACACCTGGTATCCAAATCTGAAACAAGAGAACAAACATGGAATTTTCTTTTTCTAAAAGTAAAGTTTCTTTAGTAGAAATAAAAGACAAAGTCATGCCTAATGCAATTCCAAAAATATTATTTGAAATAAACAAAGCAAAAGGAAACTCCTGGGAAAACGAGAGTTCACATAAAGAAAGTGGGATTAAGTAAACAGTTTAAGTTGGTGGTTCTCAAAGTGAGATGTGGATCAGAACCCACAGGGAACGGGTTTCCAACACTGTGGTTCAGAGACCACCCAACCCTCTTGGTATCAATTCTACAGTCCTGGACAGTCCACACAGAGTGTCTAAGGGAGATGAAAGGTTGAGAATCTTCATATATGGACTTTTCAACAATTTTCTTTATTATTAGATTAAAATCAAACTCACTAGTGGTGCTGTGGCTATGGATAGCTTCATAGCACTGAGACTTAACCCCCTGCACCACCAAGGAGGCCCTTAAGGATTTTTTTTTTAACAAGAGGTTCAAAGAGAAAGGGAAACAGCAGAAGTAAAAGCTAAACCAAAGTTCACTCTCCCCATCGTCTATTATATTGTGTTTCTTCCGATGAGAAAGAAATATATAGATGGATGAGAAAAGGCAAATAAGGATATTCTCTGGCCTAAGAAACTCTTAAGAGTAATTAATATGAACTTAAGAGTAATTACTACGAAAAGACACATTATTACAATGTCAAGTAGATTCTTCTTTATAGTCTTTTATTTCTCATTTAAAGAGTTATGTGAAAAGCTAGGGGGGAAAGCCTTCCCAGATTACAACTAAAATAGCTTTCCCATCCTACACCTATTTTTATTCCTTTATTCTGCTTCCTTTTCATCACAGCACTCTTTACTTGATGCTCTATTTTGTATTTAATTATAGCTGCTGTGTGTCTTTTATTACAGCATACATTCTATAGGAACAGGGACTCTATGGATTTTATTACGACTGTAGCGACAGTGTCTAACATGGTCCCAGTTCAGAGGTTATCTGTCTGCTCATCCATCCATCTACCTTTCAATTAAAACAAAAAGGAAAGTCAAAACACAGCTAGAACAGCTGTTAACAGGGAACGAGAGAGTACCTCTCTCTCTACCCCATGGAGGAAAACAGCACAGAATGGAAAAAAAAAAAAAAACAGCAGTTCTTGGGCCATAGAAGCAGTTCAATTAGTATCAGCAGCTCAGACTAACTTGTTCCTCAGGCGCTCAGATCACAGGCCTGTAAGGGAGTTCCCAAACCTCAGGAGCGTCTGCTCCCCAGCTCTGGGGCAGCTTCACCTCCTGACAGGCCTCACTCACCTGCAGCTGGAGCTGGTCTTCCTTTTCTCAGAACTTTCCAGGGCTCTTTTCCTCGTTCCAATAAGGAAATCACATCTGGTTTGGAAACGAAGCATCCTGTTTAGAAGAAAGTAAATGTAAGACAATATGGAAATCAGACATAAATTGAAAATTACTTGATTAGACTTTTTTAAGTATTAAACTATATAGGTCAGATGGCAACTGATAAAGTCTTTAAGACAAACAAGGGCAAGATGGTTCAAAAACGTGCACATAAAGGTTACATACTAAGAACTAGAGAGGGAAGGAAAATGTCTCAATTTCTACTCATGTAAGTGCACCTTCCTGACAGACAACACCGGCTGGGCGCACAGCCCCGGGCTCCAAATCCAGCCTTGCCCACAGCCCAGCTGCTTAACCGTGGACTAGCTACCTCTCAGCTTTATTTTCCCAACCTATAAAATAGAGATTAAAGTACCCTCTTTACATAACTGTTGTGAAATTACATAACATGTATCTATATCTAAATATGGCCTAAAATATTATTAAGTGCTGTTATGTTAATTAGCTCTTAGTTCTTGCTATTCTGCTAAGAAAACTAGAAACTTCTCAGAATAATTAGTAATTTTATAGCACATTCAAACAATGTTAAATGGAAAGATGGTAGATTTAACTTTCAATCATAAAAGAATTAAAAGTGAATGCTTACTAACAAAAGAGTTTTCCTGAGTTGTAAATAAATCCTGTTGCTTATCACTATAAAATTATGTGTTCTGGGCCCTCCCTGGTGACCCAACAGGTTAGGACACAGCATTGCAAGCTAGCCCCAGCTGCTTCAGTGTGAGTTCGATTCCTGGACCCAGAGGTGACCCACATGGAGCAGCAGGCCTCTCCTGTCTCATCTACTGCTCTCCTCAGTAGTGGAACTTTGTCAGTCTGCCTGTTCTGCTCCCCACTCTGTCTCTGATGAATTCTCTCTCCACCCCTGCATCTCTGGCCTATACCCCAGTTCTGTATGCATTAAAAAAAAAAATCTAAAAAATATTATATGTTCTTTTGACCATCAGAGACAAACTGGCACACAGGGTCTAGCTACTTGCCTTTTAGGTAGACCAACAGGTAACAAAATACCATAGCAATCCTGAGTGCAGACACAAGGAGAAAGCTGATTTCTTATAAATCGCCCAGAATTCAGGTCCAGCCCTTGCATGACCAAGAAAGGCCTGGTGGGCACATAAGGATGGGGTAAGATGAATATGCTTAATGCATGTGTTTATTTCCAACTAGATGAAGCTCAAACATTCCCTTGAGAAGAGGGAGCCAAATTTCAGGTAAGTTTCATGGCAACTGACGGAAATTTCCAGGGAAGGAAGCTAACTATTACCAAAAAGAAAGTGTTAGTGACTACAGGCAGAAGCCCTTACCCAGTGAGACCAAATTGCTGTAGTTCTCTAGCATCACTTCTCTGTACAAGTCTCTCTGTTCCCAGTTCAGATGTTCCCACTCCTCCTGAGAGAAGATTATGAGCACATCACTGAAAGTCACAGATCCCTGAAATGACAGACCAATGTAAGTGATATTAAAGAACATTTGCTTTAAGATAGGAGAAAAGATAAGAGATACTGCAGAAAATGGACCCAGCTGAGGCTGAAACGCTGTAACCTGGGGTTAGGGTATAATCCTGGAGCAATGCACTGAAGGTTCCAGAGGTGCCACCTTGTCACTGCACATACAGCCACCTGTAAATCTGTCTTATTTCTCCAAATATACTTGGGAAAGAAAAGTAACAGTTTTCCAATGAAACAAGATAATGTATATAAATAAGCCTTCTGGCTGTTATGCCTCCCTCATACA